GGCTCATTCCTGCTGAGCAGCTTGACCAGGTAGCGTGCGATCGAGTGACACAAGCTGCTCGAGATACCGTGCATCTCTCTGGCAGGGGGAAGAAGGCACCATCGACCCTGAGCAGGGCGGGCAAACCTCTCCCAGGACTGACTCACAGAGGCCTGGTCTTTCCCCACCACCCCTCGCCAGGAGAAAGGCAGTGCCCAACACCAGCAGGCTCCTTTTGGGGAGGAGCCTGGAAAAACACACCCTTCCTACCTACCCCAAAGCCTTCCCTTCTGAGGAGACCCCTTTCCTGCCCACGGGGGACTCATGTCCCCCAGGCTCTGCCGCTGGCCCTCAGTGCATCCCGCCCTGCCCTGGCGGGCTGCCCTGAGTGGGGCTGCCTGCAGACAGACACCCACCCCCCCCACCCCGGCTCTGTGCCGTCAGCCCAGGCCCCATGGGACAGGACGCTGGCGCTTTGGGAGGTGGCTGCTCCTGTGCACCCATCTCTCCCAGGCTTTTCCAGTCTGCTGGGCCATCCCTCGGTGACAAGTCCCTCTCACCCACGACCAAGGGGATTGTGTGGGGCGCCCCGTCTGCAGGGGAGAAATGGCGGGGGGAGTGGGGAGAAGGGGGCTCTCACCTGGCCAGCAGACCCATTGCGCAGTGGTGGGTCTCAGCGTTGAGGAGTGTGTCCCAGCCACGCTTACGTTCGACTTCAAGCACCACGTCCTCATACTTAAGATGGCAGAGCAGTGCTTTCACGGTCAGCACTGCAAATCTGTGTGCAGAGCAAATCCCAGGTCACGCTGGGAGCCCTGGCCCCAGCTCTGGGGCCATGGGAGGGATGGGAGGACTGGGATGGAGCACCTGTTGGGGTTGGTGGGAAGGCAGCCTGCCTGCTGGCATCCCCTCCAGAAGGTATCGACCTCCTCTGGCATCTGCTCTGTGCTGAAGAAAATTTGGAAGAGCAGAGCCAGAAAGAGGCGAGGGAAATGCACCTTCAACCACCGTGGGCGCCTGGGCAGCCGGAGGATCTCCCACAGCGCCCTGGTTGCCTGCAGAAAACAAAACACCCAGAGACAGCACTCAGTGCCGAGACGTCCCCGTGGGACGGGGTGCCGAGCGTGGGAGGGCGAGGCTCAGGAGCTGCCCTGGGCCACGGGAGACGCAGGCGGAGCACCCGGCCCGGCTGTCCCTAAACCTGTCCCTAACCCAGGTTTCCAGCCCACCGTGTGAGGCAGGGAGATGCACTGGCGGGGGAGAATGGAGAGCCGCCCAGAGAGGCGACCCTGGGGGTGAGCAAAGGCCTGGTCCGGAAACTCACAGCCAGGGCAAAGACGTCCTTTTTGTCCCCGTCGGAGGTGGACGTGCTGTGCAGCGGCCAGTCCTCCAGCACGCAGAGCAGCTCCAGCAGCACCTTCTCTGCAGTCCCACTCGTGGAGACCATCGTCCTCCACATCGTCACGGCATTGCTGCAGGCCCAGAGCTCTGTGTCAGCGGGGTCTCGGCCACAGTGCCGTGGCCTGGGCAACCCCGGGGGCCCGGGCTGGCCACCAGCCCTGCCACTGCCCACGGCCCCTCGCCAGCAGCACCCAGCGGGCCTGCCCCTGCAGGCAGCAGGTGGCCAAGCGACGGTGCCTTGAGGGGCAGGGAGGGAGCATGGCAGCGAGGGAGCATGGCAGCGGGCTCTGGGGCTGACATGCCAGGGCTGGGAAACGGAGGGGCCGGAGGGTCCTGAAAATCTCCGCCTGTCTGGCAGCCCACATGGGACGGGCTCTACAGGCTGATGGGCTCTAAAGGCTGGTGAGCCCTGAGCCCTCAAGGCAGGCGCGCCCCGTACCTGTCGCACCATGGGGCACAGCGCAGGAGGGTCACCACCACATCATGGGCGTGCACGTGGGTCAGCTCCAGAAGGGTGTTGTCCAGCCTGCGCTCGGCAGACACATCTGTGTTGGACGTGAGCCACCGGTAGATGCACCTCACGATGCTCGGCACCTGCGGGAGACATGGCTGAGAGTTGGAGTGCTGCCAGAGCGTGCCATTTCCCCAGCTTCCCCTGAGAAGTGCTTCCCTTCCCACCACACTGTGCTGGCCTAAAAGGCTGTCGGGTGCCCAGCACTGCAAATCTGTGTGCAGAGCAAACGGCACCTGGCTTCAAGGGGCGCACGATCCCCGGGGGGCTTCAGCCCTGGCCACAGGCTACTTACATGCTCCAAATCGGAGACGTCGCTTTCCACAAGCACATCCAGCATGGCAGCACAAGCCTCCGCATTATAGGAGTCAGAGTCTGCCATGCCCTCGATGGCCGTGATGGTGGTTTCTTCACGCTCAGTGGGCTTGAGGGATTCCCAAAATATCTGCAGGAGAAGGAAGGGCGGGGAAGAGAGGGATGTCACACCGAGTGCCCTGACGGCGGTGCTCGGCTGAGCAGCAAGAGCAGGCCCAGCCCAGGCAGGGAAGGCTGCGGATACCTGTGCTCTGCTGTGGAAGAGGGCACGGGTGTGTTCCTGCTCCTGCTCCTCTTCTGGCCGGTCCCAGTCGGGATCGCAAAAACAGAGCGCAGGCAGAGCTCAGGGGCTGCGGGAGAGGCTGGGGAGAACACACCAGACCCACACG